ACGATCAACAACATCTATATGTACTTGAGTGTGTGAAACCAATTCCTGGACTTATTGATGCTCCACTATTGTGGCAGGCAGCGCTGACATTACACATCAAGGACAAGATGGCGGGCAAGCGAGCACTACTTGACGAGAACTGCTTTGTATGGCACGACGACAAGACGGAGAAGCTCACGCTAGCGACTACGGTACATGTGGACGATCTCTTCCCGACAGGTAGGCAGACATGGCTGGATTGGGCACGTGCTTTGCTGGAGAAGAAGTTCGGCAAGATTACGAGGAAGACGATGCCCTTCACACATCTTGGCATAGAATATCATCGACTATCAGATGGCACCATCCTCTTGAGTTAGGACGCCTACCTGGACACGATCGAGTCACCACAGTTGGATAAGGAACGAAGTAAGAACGACAGCTCACCATGTACGGCCAGTGAACATCATCGATATAGATCGCTATGTTGTCAACTACTTCATCTACTTCAGACACGCTGGGATCTTAGCGCGGCTACGACACACTTGCAGACAAAGCAGACCGCCCCGACGATCGGAGATTTCAAGCTGTTGAAGAGCGTGTTGGAGAGAGCTAAGAAGAATCGAGAACGAGCTGGTTTGTACTATCGCAAAATGATTGGACCGTTCCGCTTGGCAAGCATCAACGACGCAGCTCACGCCACCAAGACGACTTCATACGCACATGAAGCTCAAGGACTCTTCTTGATGGAAGATCGCAGAGCGGAGTTCAATCGACATGGCATTGTCTCGAAGACCTCATATGACAACGTCTTTGGTGCAGCTCATCCGTTGATAGGTCAGAGCAGAAAATCCAAGCGAGTATCATATTCAACAAGTCATGCAGAGACGGTGGCAGCAGTTGGAGGATCACAAGCGGCACAATTTACGGCATTGAGGTTCACCGAGCTGATTGCCAGACCAATGATGGAGAAGACTGCTGGAGGCGCCCTCAAGAATCTGATGACCATGCAAGATGAAGGGCGCTCGATCATACCCATAGACATCATCACCGACTGCTACGACCTCTACCAGCTCGTGACGGGCATGAAAGGAATACCAGTTGACAAGACACAGCGTCTCAGCATCCTCAGCCTTCGAGAGGATAGATTGTCAGGACGAGTGCGGAGATTCTACCACTGGCCAACCGAAGTCATGGTTATGGACAGCCTCACAAAGCCAGGGCAGTTTCCGCATATGCAAGACTACTTACTATCAGGAGTGATGCGACATCGAGGGCTGCTCAAAATGAAGAACGGCATCGAGAACGTGATTACCGTCAAGGAGATAGCCTCCAGGACCGAGTTCACAGAGAGCGACCTGGTGAACATCCAGGCCTAGAGGGGGCCGGGCCTATCAGTCGTAGAAGCACAGAATCAGAGTGAGAATAGTAGGCCCCAGGTTCGACTTCAGACATCCCTTGAGGCTTCCTACGTCGCCACCGCCGGATAGGGCAGAGTGCCCTTAGCTGCTACTTTTTATAGCCACAGAATCATAAACATACTGTGGCTCAAGGCGAGAAAAGCCCGCTGGAGGAGGAGGAGGAGGAGGAGGAGGGGGAGGAGGAGGAGGGGGGAGGAGGAGGAGGAGGAGGAGGAGGAGGAGGAGGACGATGAGGAGGAGGAGGAGGACGAGGAGGAGGAGGAGGAGGAGGAGGAGGAGGTGGGGGGGGGGGCGGAGGAGGAGGAGGAGGAGGAAGAGGAGGAGGAGAAGGAGGAAGAGGACGAGAAGGAGGAGGAGGACGACGAGGAGGAGAAGGACGACGAGGAGGAGGAGGAGGAGGAGGAGGAGGAGGAGGACAAGGGCGGGGGAGGAGGAGGGAGGAGGAGGAGGAGGAGGAGGAGGAGGAGGAGGAGGAGGAGGAGGGGGAGGGGGAGGAGGAGAAGGGAGGAGGAGGAGGAGGAGGAGGAGGAGGAGGGAGGCGGGGGAGGAGGAGGAGGAGGAGGAGGAGGAGGAGGAGGAGGAGGAGGAGGAGGAGGAGGAGGAGGAGGAGGGAGGGGGAGGAGGAGGAGGAGGAGGAGGAGGAGGAGGAGGATTTTTTTTGAGCTCCACGCCCAGCTCCGCTACATTCATACGTCTGGACCTCTACAGCGGGGGGAAAGGCCCAAACTCAGAACAGAACCGCTACAGTGCACCACGACGCAGGCGACGGAAGTGGCCTATAGCGGCTATGTACAACGGGGAGGCCGCTGCCCTCCCCGACCGAGTCCGCGTCCTTGAGGGGCGTGCCGAGGAGCACCGCGTGCCGCCGCCACCGCGGCCACCACCGAGGGCGGCGCCATGCCGCAGTCCACGGCCTTCGCCATCAAGGCCAGCTCCTCGGCCGAGAAGGGGTCGGAAGGGGCCTCAGCCTGCGGCGTCGCCGCCGCCAGCTCCAGCCCTGCAGCCTCCCCAGCAGAGGCGCACGACCCCGCCGAGCCGCCCGACTCGAGGCGAGGGGCCACGCGCCGCGCAGCGCCCGCGGCCGCCGCAGGAGCTCCGCCGGCTTCACGAGCCGGCTCCGCCCCCCGCCGCAGCCCGTCCGCCCAGCTGTCATCCATGTCCGAGTCCGCCACGTCGCCGACCGCGGGCCCCGCAGGCCCCGAACCAGCAACCACCGGCGCACCGGCCCCCGGAGGAGCAGCTGGGCCCCCAGCGCCTCCGCCCGCCGCCGCCGCAGCCGCCTCGCTGCGCTCCGCCGCCCGCCGCGCCGAAAGGCGCTGGCGACGGCGGCGCCTGCGCGCCGCTTTGGCGGCCGAGGGCGGCCGCTCCGGTTCCACGTCGCGCACCTCCGAGTCGTCCCCAGCAGCCTCCGCCGCCTCCGCCACGCGGCCCGCTCGGAAGAGCGCAGCCGAAATGGCCGAGCGGGCGACTGCCGCCACCGTCCGCCTCGGGGCGCGCGCCTCGGCGGCCCCGCGCACCGCGGCCTCCACCAGGAGCGCGATGTCGCGGGCCGCCCAAGCCCCTCTTGGCGCCGCCATGCCGCGCGGGCGGCGGGCGACGGCCGTGCGACCGCTTGAGCCAAAATGACTACTTGAGCCAAAATGGCTACGGAGGAGGAGGAGGAGGAGGAGGAGGAGGAGGAGGAGGAGGAGGAGGAGGAGAACCACAGCCCCGCGCGGGTTCTGTGGGCTGTGCCTGCACCTCCCTGGCGGCGCCTCCAGCGCCGCCCCTGGCGCGCTCCGCGCGCCAAATGGGGGTTCCCAGCGCCGATCCAAGAGATCCGCGCGGACCTTTGAGAGCGCATGTTTATCGACTTGCGGATCTTCAGCTGCAGAAGGCATGCTGTCCGCGGCCGCGGCCGCACCGCGACGGGGGTCGACCTGCCGCGCTCTCGGCGCTCGAGAAGCGGGCAACATGACACCAACAGCTGGGAGCAGGGGGCGCCGCCCACCTTGCTCGCCGACCCGCCAGTGCGCCTCGGGGGCGAGAACGCGTGCATAGCGGGATGCGTGGCGCCGTGCCCACAAGCCGCCGCTCACGACGGCGGCACATCCGGCAACCGACCACGCCGACAGCAGAACCAGCACCGAGACTGACAGGCCGCAGGCAGCCCAGAAAGGCGCAACGGCGTAACAACGAACGGGGCGACCGAGCCGAACCAATCGAGACGAATCTGCGAGGCGGGGATCTGTCCATATCCGCCGCCTGAAGAACTGACGCCTTTGAACCCCAGCGGGCGGTGGATGAGGATATGTTTTGGCCCCAGGGGCCCCGAATACATCCATTCCATGGCCACCGCCTGGTCCCCGAAAACCGATCCCCTAAACCGTGCAGCCCCTTTTTGTATTATTCGCGAGGTGGCCCGTGCCCAGCTCCACCACCCCCTCCCCCCCCCCGCTGGTCACGTCACGATTTGCGCCAGCGCCGTGCGCAGATCGGTCCTTCCTGGCGCTGGCGCGACCCTCGTGACGCGACTGACCCCCTTCCCCCCTCCTGTGGTCACGCCCGTGATCGCCCGTGATCGAGGGGGGAGGGGAGGGGAGGGGAGGGGAAAGGTGGGTGGTGAGGAGAGGAGGGGAGGGAAAGGGGGGGGGCAAGAGGTGGGTGGTGAGAAGGGGGGTGGGGGGGGCAGATTGTATTAGGCAGGGGCTCTCACTCGGGCATGCGGGGACGAGACGGGGAGGAGGGGGGGGCGAGGCGGGGGGGAGGGGCAGGGGAAGGGGTGGTGACGAGGGGGGGGGGGACTGTATCAAGCAGAGTCTCTCACTCAGGCGTGTCGAGGCAACTAGCTAGACCTGCAGGGGGGGGCAGTTAAAAAAGGCTTCACATGCAGCATGCTAGTGGGGCGGCAGTGCATCAGCCCTGGAGGACAAGGAGGAGGGGAAGGTAGAGGAGTCAGGGGTGCAAGAGAGGGGGGGGTGCTGGGGAGGAGGAGGGGCAGGAGGGGCAGGATGTGGGAGAGGGAAGAGAAGGAAAATCAGGGGAGGGGAAGACGGCCGAGTGGAACGGGAGAGGAGGATGCGGAGGGGAAGGAGGATGAGGAATGGGCGAAGGGGGAAGGTGGGAGAGGGAGCGAGAGGGGGAGATGGGAGAGGGATGGGCGGACAAGGATGATGATTGTGTTAAGTGATGATGATGATGACGATGATGATGATGATGATGAGGAGGAGGAGGAGGAGGAGGATGAGGATGAGGATGATGATGATGATGATGCTGATGATGATGATATCAATGCTGTTGACGACTGCGATTACGATGGAGATGTCGATGACGATGATGATGATGCTGATGATGATGATGCTGATGATGTTGATGCTGATGCTGATGATGATGGTGATGATGATGCCGATGATGGTGGTGATTCTGCTGCTGCTGCGGCGGCTGCTGCTGCTGATGCTGCTTATCAGGATGATGACCGACACACAGATGAGATGAAGACACGATCTCTGGAACGTGCCGCCCTCTGCGGCAAGGCTCGACCCTACCGTCCGCTACCCTGCAGTCGAAGTCGCCTCGCTGCGCGCAGGTCTGATGATGAGTAGGAGAAGAAAGAAGAGGGCGGTCCTCCCCGACCTTCCTTACGAGCTCCTTGGGGGGCATGGGCGCGGCAGCCGAGCTCGAAGCTTGCCTGGCCGCCCCCCTCCCCCCCAAACCTCGCCTCGTCGCCTCTCCCGCTCCTGCTCCTCCCGCCTCCGTCTTCGAGGATTCGGGGGGCTCGCTCTAATCCTGGCGATTTCCTTTCCCGTTGCGGCTTCTGGTGAGCCGTCCATGGCCCCAGGGTCACTGAAACCATTGTTCTGTATCTCCTTGCGGGGATGGTGTACGCATCGTCGATTCGACCGAGCTGGCAAGCAACAGAACAACAAGTAGCAGCACGCAAAAACACAATTCACCAAAACTAGCTACGGCTTGCGAAACTGAAACATTCAACAAACACGAGGACAAGACTCTCTCCATTATAGCCTTCCTCCTCCTCCTCCTCATCCTCCTCCTCCTCCTCCTCCTCCTCATCATCATCATCATCATCACCATTATTACCATCCTCACTCATGCTCCCTCTTCTGAATCCTGCTCCCCCCTCCTCACCATAGCACCTTCTGAAAGCATTAACTACCTTGCCTTCCCAGAGGGAGAAGAGGCGGGGAGGTTAGAGTGGAACGAAGAACGGGGGACGGTGGGGGCTGTCGATGGATGGAGTCAGCAGGCTGCATGAAAGGAATCCAAATATACACCCTATGCAGACTGAAAATGTGTCTACACCCTTCAGTTGTATTGTCTTCTCCCACTCTCCCTACCCCCGATACAGAATAAAAAAAAAAGAGCGACAGAGAGACCCTGTGCCCCCTTCTCAAAGAGTAAGAGAGAGAGAGAGTGAGAGAGAGTGAGAGAGAGAGAGAGAGATAACGAGAGAGAGATCAAACCAAGACAGAGAGAGGGTGGTCAAATTCATGGAAGGGCAAGGCAAGGCAGGGCAAGACGGGACCAGGCAAGACTGGGTGCTGTCGACAAGACAGAGGGAAAGGGCAAGGTGGCAAATCCTCTCAGAAGGTGCGATAGTGAGGCGGGGGACGAGCAGGAGGAAAGAGCACGAAGGAGGGACGCCTAGGCGAAGTACGATAAAAATGAGGGCGAGTGGGAAAGGATGAGGAGGGTTGAGGGCTGGAGTAAGAAGTGGCATGTGTTGTGTTGGTTGTTGGTATTATTATGGTGTGTCCGAATTGGTTTATTCGTTTGATAAGATGCCGTACGCTTGTATTGGTTTCCGATCCGGCCCCCAAAATCAGGAATCGATATCGCTGCCACCGTGCCTGCCTTCAGCACGAAGTGAAGTGTCACACGGCTCATACAATGCAAAGTGCTGATTGCACGGAATCATTCTTTAACACCTGGACCCCAAGCTTGCTGCAATTCCAGGGCGCTCCTGGATTCTCTCGGATTGTCTCGCGTGAGCCTCCTGGACACCCCTGCCGCCCACAACGATGCCCACATCCGTCAGGACGGCCCAAGACGGTCCCAATGAAGCTCCAGGATCGTCCGATAATGCCCCAAGAAGAGACCGCCAGCAGGCCCACAAGACGCCCCCAAGAACCCAATACGCCTTTGACAGAGCTCTTCTATACGACACTGACGGATTGGGTCGTGTGTCCAGTCGAGAATTCATGCACAAAAGGGATACGTGTGTTTGTAAGTTCACCTACAAAAGTCAATATTATGCACTTCGCCCTACTCATCCCAACTGGCTGGGGGGGGGCAAGATGAGGAGGAATAGGGTGAGGAGACAAAGGATAAACAACTGATGAGGAGGCGACCGTCTCGACGAGTAACCCACGGGATTCGCACGCCACGGAAAAACTGAACACATGAGGTAGGGGCAAATATCTCCTCCCACTCCTCTGCAACAATTAATCAACATTGCTTATTCGGACGCAGACGTTCACATACATATTCGCACATTGTGTGATGAGAAAGCGAACCCAGGAATGTAGGCAACTTCAAATCGATAAGACACCCAAGCGCAACGTAATTGTTCGTTCATTTGTCGCTCCAATGTGGCTGGCGAATCTGAGGTTTTAGACAAACTCATCGCAAAGACCCGTGGTGGACCACCTCCCCCAGGCGCTGTCAGAGACCCCCCCCCGCCTGCGGCCTATCAGGGGCCGCCCTAAGCAATGTCAAAGGCCCCCCTGTTGAGCAGGGACCGACCGTCCAGCCATTCCTATAAGCCTACCACGAACCCTTAGAGCCCCAAAATGGTCTAAGAACGCAAACAATGTTCTTAGAACATAAACACGATGTGTTAGAACAAGGCAGTCCCAGCCAGAACTGTTCTAAGAAATTTCGCGCAGACCACAATAAGTTCTTAGAATGTCTTTGGTGGGCCTATAGGCAAGCCAGGACGCTTCGCCGCTGCTTGACCCTGTGCGTTGTCAGAGACCCTCCCCGCTTGGGAGCCACCGGGCCGACTTGCAGGCAGAATCCCTAGCACAATGGTGGGCTACAGTCTGCTGGCGTATACGTAAATATGGTGGACGGGTCTAGTGAACGGATGGAGAAGGCGGGAATATCAGAAGGAAGCGGAGAACAAGAACCCAATACTTTCTGAGGCAGTGGACACGATCAACGCCAGCACTGAAGGCGCCCTAGCGGATATTGGACAATATAGTGGAAATCCACTTCCGATTCCGGTGGGCAGCAAAGATCCCATATGTCCTGTCCCGAAATCCGATCCGACTTCGGTGGGCGGCCAAGTTCCTGGACTCCCGGTCCTAGGCCGGAAGTCTCCAGCATTCTAAGGTTCACTGGATGTAGAGTTCTTGGTCGCAGCCAAGTGCCTGGCTCCCTGCGACCCCAGTCAGAACGAGAGGTTAGATGATAGAGAGTACGTACATCAAAGTGTTCGAGAACACATTCGACTGGAGAGTATCGAGAAACTACACATGTATATACACATACATACATACATACATACATACATACATACATACATACATACATACATACATACATACATACATTTGTTTACATATAATGTACATGATCCCCTGAACCCGATTGGCACCTAGGGGCTCGCCCTATGGTTTATGACCTAATCGGATGGATCTGCCATGAGCATGTTCCACCTTTGCGCCCCGTACCCGCTCATACAGCGGAGGCCAGTCCACAAGAAACCCTCCGCATGACATCCGACCCTGAGACCCCAGGAGGTCGGGGGGTCGTAAGAGGAGAGGATGGTGTAGCTCCCTGAATAGATCTGGACGGCCGCTGCAAGAGGGAAGTGTAAGCCTCCTCCAGCGAGGTTCGCTCCCTGAACCCACCTTGGGCAACCGTCTCTCTCTGAGGGGCAACGATGGGAGGGGATTGGCTCCAGAGGGGCAACTCGGAATCGGCGATAAATCGCCTATAGATCGGCGATAGACCCTGGACAGCGAAAACAAGTGTTCCTGGGCAGCCGTTGGCAGCCGAGCCCCGGTTGGGCGATTGGGGGTCTATGCTACCCCTTCCAAACCAATCTCGCCTGCGTCGACCAGTTCCCCAGATCCCCGACGTCGTGATTTGTTCACGACGTGGACCCCTGGAAGTCAAACCAATTCCCCCAGAACCGACCTCTCATCCCGAGCGGTTCTTTGGAGGCCCCCGGGCCCAGCAAGGGCCCCCGGAGACCGAAAACGACCCAAACCCTGCCGTCGTGAGTTTGTTCATGACCCGATGGGGTCAGGGGATTGGGGCAACAGTCGACCCCTGGACATGTTTAGGGGTGCGTTCTGACCAGAAGTTCGAAAAGCCTCCAAGGCGCCCAGAAAACGCGATCGCCCACGCATCGGCGATGCATCGGCGGCGACGCCGGCGATACATTGGCGCCGTCGGCGTAGAGAAATCGGGCTCCACATCGGCGACGCGGCGCGACCCTTCGACTGCATCTACTCGGACCCCAGGTTTGAGCAGAGACCGACCGTCCTGATGGTCCTATGGGCATACCGTGAGATGTTCTTAGAACCAAAGAGCGCTCGAGAAACAACAGCAAGGTTCTCACTGCCTAAGACAACATCCTAAAGCAGTACTGTCTCATGCTGACATGCTCTAACATCGGGAGCGGCCAAGAGGGGGGTGTCCAAGAAGGGGGGGGTGTAAATCATGACCGGCGGCATGTGTGCGGCACAGCGAGGGGGCCAGGCACGCAATGAAACAAGAAGAGGCGCCATGAAGTCTGGGGAGATGTCGTGGCCCCCGCCATGAGATCCGCCCCCCCCCCCTGGTCCTCACCCCCCCCCCTCGTTGCCGCCCCCGAGTGCAGCGCTGCACGCACACTACAAAAAAGGTCTTGGAGCATGCTCGTGCTGGCCAGTCGGCAGGCCCGCCGGCTCTCCGCCCCTGCTGGACCCGTGGGAGGCTCGCCATCGATCGGACGCCCATTCCCTGTTTTTTTTGTCGGTTTCGAGCGTGGTTGTTTCGCCAAATGATCAAGGATTCTCCTCGATTACCCTCGCCGAAGGAAAAATGCACACGTCCGAGCGATGCCAAGGAGGCCGCGATGCTGAAAAACAACAGGCTGCATGACCACAAGCTTTCGGAGCTCCCGCGCGGGTGATTTCTGGGATCTGCGCAAGACCCCACTTGGCGGCGCCCCTGGGGAGGGGGGGGCCCTGCGCGGATCCTAGAAACCCGCGCGGACTCCAACCATTTGTGTGTGTGTGTTATGTTTTTTGTTTATGCAAGGACCGACCGTCGTGGCACCATTATGGGTTTACCACGACTTGCTCTTCGAACAGAAAGATGTTCTTAAGAAACAAAATCACCCTCTTCATAGTGGAAAAGGCGATGTGTGAAAGCAGGACGGCATGAGCCAGAAATGTCCCAAGACCATGCTGTGACAACCTCAAATTAAAACGTTCCCCCATGGGCGAGTGAGGACGCTTCGCCTCTGCTTGATCCAGTTCGGAGAGAGGTTGATGGGCAACGCTAGGGGGGGATAGGCGTTGGGGGGGAACATCGATCTCGAATCGGCGATACATCGCCGACCTGTGCCCGATAGTGCATCCGCACCTCCCTGGGCAGGTTGGGGCCCTCGGACCCCGATCGGCGATCCAGGGGCAATTCAAAGGGTCCATGCGCCCCCCCCCTATGCCTCTA